AACATTGTTTAATACAATTTATATTTATATATTTATTGAACTGACCAGTGGCAAATGATGTAAAGTACTTATTTGAGTATTGGTATTTAAATACTATTTAGTGTATTAAAYACCTACTAGAGTATTCAACACTTTCCATTAATTATTTATTTGAACAATTAGTTTTGAACAAACCATGTTTTTGAAGTGTAATAAACATATTTTAAATGTCAGGTACACAAATTTGATTGCACATGTTTAATAAATATATTATGAACTGCAGTGGTGTAATTAGGAATTTGTCTTAGGGGGGGATAGACATTTTTTTTACACACAAAATACTAGATTTTCAAGTACAGTGRTAAGTGGTATCTAGGAATACTATTTCATCAAAAATCGTTAAATTAATTTATAGGTACTCAAAATGTATTAATTAATGTTGCTTAAAATTTCTACACAATTTAGTACCTATACAATAGTATAATAAGTTCTACAAAATGTAAATATTGAATAAATTAATATTAAATTTTACTTTTAAATTAAATAATAGTTATTAAAATATTAATTTTATATTATGCTATTTTTTTGTAMTGTTTGATTTATTATATAGGCTCTGGGGGGATCTATCCCCTTCATTACACCCTTAATTACGCCCCTGATGAGCTGATTARCTGATTTAACCAAAATATAATTATAAGACTAGATTAAATAGTAATTGTAATTTTAGTACTATTTCTTTTAATATATTTTTTAGTGTGGTAGTTTAAATTATTAAATGTTGGTATACTTAAAAATATAATATAAACATTGAATTGAAATTACTGTTAATCTAACTTCATTAAATACAAGAATTATAGTAGTAATATAATATAATAAATAAAGATTAAATACCTATAACGTAATATAATATCCATATAATATATATTGTAATTAAAAACTGTCAATTATATCATGGTTGCACATTCTAAAAAATAGTTTGTAAACATATATTYTATACTACTGTTTATAAGACTTTAAGAATAAGATAAAAATTAAAAACCATGTTTGAATAAAATACTATTTATTTTATGGTTTAATACCTATTATAGGTTATCAATTTTTTTTTAATTTTCCCATTCAACTAATTGTATCTTATATAATATATTATATAGATGTTTATACGTTTTGAATAAATATTGGACAAGCAAATCTTGAGTCTTAACTTTTAAATAACCTTTATATTAATTGGTAATTACATACAAACAACAAATTTACAAGAGTTAATAATAGTAACAAATGTATACATTATTTTCATACATGAATCGTTTTATTCATTCATATTTTATTATAATACACATGAATAATATTCTTTAAATTAACATCAGGTTTTAAAAGAGCAATGATAACTCATTTAACTTATAGTATTTTTACATCACTATGTCTTATTTAAGCATCAATATTCTATACTGCCAATTGTATGTAATGTTTTTATTTTGAATCTTTACAGAAGAAAATTGTTACAAAGATAAAATAGCCAAATATGTAAGTTGGACAAAGGTCGCTACATCATGCATTGATGATTTTCATRCATATAATGAAGCAGTAAAAAAAAACAAAAGTATGTAATGGTATTTATATTATGGCAAAATTATTATAAAATTTTTTTATACAATTTATCACATGGCCAACACTTTGTTTTGCCAACTTAAGGCATTTTCAGGAGTATTAAAATATTTTACAAAATATTCCCTCAACTCTTTTGCATTTGTAGAAGCATTTCCTACTCCTCTTCTTTCTGATTCTTCTTCCATTCTACAACTCATAGAATCCTCTGTAATATAGCCATCCCTGCGGCGAACAAAATTGTGTAACACACAGGCTGCTTTTGTTATAGCTATAGCAACATTGGGAGAAGCTAAAATTGGGGTATGAAAAACTCTCCATTTATTGGACAGAATTCCAAATGTACACTCAATATGTTGTCTTGCTCTGGACAAGCGATAGTTAAATATACGTCTTTCATTATTCAAACTTTTTCCTGGAAARGGTYGCAACAAATGTTTGTTTAATGCAAACGCTTCGTCACCAACTATGACATATGGGCAAGGCTATGGTACACATTCTGTATCATTTGGTAAACATGTGTCTGGAGGGAAATTAACTTGACCAGAGTAGAGTTTCTTACCAAATGCTGATTGTTTGAAAATATTGCAATCACTTTCTTTTCCAAACGATCCAACATCAATAATTGTGAAGCAATAGTTAGAATCACATATACCAAGAAGAATTAATGAAAAAAACTGCTTATAATTGAWGTATTGAGTTCCACTACTTTTAGGACACTCTAATCTCACATGTTTCCCATCAACAGCACCGACCAAATTGGGGAATTGGGTTTTGGTATAAAATCCTTCAGCAATATCTAACCAATCCTGAACT